CTGTTACCAGCGTCTTGCATTAAGTGGTACGTTTGTCACAGTCGATGAGGCAATAGTGACGCGTGATGGTTAATAAAGGTCCAGAGTTTACGTGAGGGTCCACAGCGTGTCGTGAGTTCTGTGGGTTTTGACAAACGCACCGTATTGCGTTTCCATCATCACGGTCTCCTACAGAACAGTTTCACTGCCCTAAAATGCCCCTGCACTCCAGTTCTTGGCTGTGGGCGTCCTCCCAGTGCACAGTTCCCCTCACTGTCTCAGACGGTGGCCAGGTACCACCAGCCCCAGACAACAGGGTGCAGTGCGTGCACGGTACACTTGCAGGGCTGGTCCTGCCACTAAAGCATTTGCTCCCAAGAGATGCTCTTGTCCTAGGAAGACCTCCATCTCCTGCTTCTCCTCACCTCCAGCCACTCCCCCTTCCACGTTCTCACGACAGCTTCCTCTCGGTCACCGTCTAGCAGAGCCCCTCCCGCCAAGTTCATTTCTGTTATATTTGAGATTCCACATATAAGTGATATCATACGATATTTGTCTTTCTCCGTCTGACTTACTTCACTTAGTATGAGAATCTCTAGGTCCATCCACGTTGCTGCAGATGGCATTATTTCATTCTTTTGTGTGGCTGAGTAGTATTCCATCGTATATATGTACCTCTTCTTCTTTATCCATTCATTCAAATGTAGATGGACATTTGGGTTGCTTCCATGTCCTGGCTATTGTGAATAGTGCTGCTGTGAACATTGGGGTGCATGTATCTTTTTGAATTGTAGTTTTCTCTGGATATATGCCCAGGAGTGGGATTGCAGGATCATATGGTAGCTCTATTTTTAGTTTCTTGAGGAATCTCCATACTGTTCTCCCTAGTGGCTGTATCAATTTACATTCCCACCAGCAGTGCAAGAGGGTTCCCTTTTCTCCACACCCTCTCCAGCATTTATTATTTGTAGACTTTTTAATGATGGCCATTTGGACCAGTGTGAGGTGATACCTCATTGTAGTTCTGAGTAGTGAAGTTCTTGAAGTGACCTGCTAGCACTCCTCACAGGACTGTCAGAGCATCAGATGGGATGCTGGGTGTGTGTGTGCATCGTAGGTTGGGAAGAGCCAGACAGAAGCAAACGGGCTTCTGCCCAGAGCATCGTCAGCGCCTTGAAGAACAGGACTGTGCTTTTTCATCCTTAGGCTTCCCTAAAGACTTTCTGCAAACACTAGCCACAGAATAGACTTTCCATAAACAGTTACGTGTGGGTTGATTGGACGCATTAGAGGAAGAGAGAATAGGATTGGATATTAGGAGTGGAGCTTTCATCATCAGGAGAAGGAGACACAGGGTGGCATTTTCAGGAAGGCTGTAGCTCTTCCCCTATGACCATTCATCCTGGAGGCTTAGACATCCATCTGCCTGACCCCAGGGATTGGATGGGCAAGATGCCAGGGAAACCACTGCTGAAATGATGGAGCCAGAATCATGAAGAGGTGGGAATAGGGAGCAGAGACCTCCATCTGCAGACGGAGACTTTAGACAGAGTCCAACAAAGCAAAGAAAACTGTGGCCCATCCTGAGACCGCCGCCCCATTCCCTGGTCTTTCTTTTACCAAGATTCCTCGAAATTTTTTTCATCATAGTTTAACAACAGTCAAAACAACATTTTTTTTTTTTTGAAAATTGGTGAAAACCTTCACATGGAGAGAATACGACCTTGGGAGAGAATTCTCTGCACCTTCTCAGAGAGGATTCTGAGAAGTCAGGGGATGAGGGGAAGGAACGAACTTGTGGGAATACAGATTTGTCTAGTCCCCAGGCCATATTCAGAGCCTCTATTCTATGACTGTACAGGCAGGGTCTGGACCGGAAGTCCTCCACAGAGCTCCCGGGGCAAATTCTCCCAACGCCAGGGCAGATGTCCCCACCTGCTGCATCCCAGGCAGCCCCATGGGATCCATGGACAGAGATATCCAAAACCCACAAGCCGCCGGTCTTGTCCTGAGCTTCCTGTTCCCATCTGGTACCAGGGTTTCACACCTGGTTCCCAAGGTCACATGCTCCCAGATCCTCTGACCTGTGCAGTGACAGCTGATGCCCTCCAGGGGCCAAGAAAAGGAGCACACTTACCCTGGGCTCTGTCATCCTCACCCTCGGAAGCTTCTGAGGAGATGCCACAACGACAAGGCTCAGAGCACTGTACGGACTTAGCATTCAGTGCTAGGACTCCCCAGAAAAGCCCATGTACATCTTAGGCTGGAATCGTGGAAGGGGATGGACAGTGAGATGTGGCTCGGTCCCTGTGTATTGACTCCAGCGCACAGGACGGGTGCAAAATCTGTTCCTTGATAAGAACTGTAGAGTCAGGCTTAGGGGTTGCAATCTCTCAGGGAGCTTTGGAAACAAGTGCAAAGAGTCTCACCTTCATTCAGCAGGGCGAAGGATGGTCCTGGGGGAGTCATGGTTGTTCTCTCGGGCAGCCAGGTTGGGAGCCCCCGGCAGGAAGCTGGAAGGTCTGCCATCCCTGCTACTGGGCAAATCCCTACCTCCAAGCTCAATGTTTCCTTATCTCAGGTGGGAAGAATTACTCTGAGATGCTGGCACCTTCCTTCACTCTCACCAAGTGGGGGATCCTTCCTCTCCCCGAAATCAGCCTACTCCCCTGGGCGGTCCTCTGCCTTCAGATCCACCTGCCAGGCATTCAGGGCTGGTGGGGAGTCTTCGGAAGTGACGTAGGCCGGCACATCAGTTCTGTCTCCTCACAGGACACACGGAAGTGGCCAGGGAGGTTCCACCTCCAACCAGTCTGGGACCAGAGCGCATGACCACATCCTTCTCTCAAGACACCTGCCCTGCCCCCTGCAGCGCATTGGCAGCGGCTGGGAAACCCCTCTCTGACCCACCCTGCAAGTCTCCCTCAAGCCCCTTTGCCCCCAAGTCCCCCTTGACCACGGTGTCCACCACCGAGGTCTGTCCGTCCTCCAGATGCTCTGGTATGTCGCACCCGTCCTGGTCACCCAACGCCTCTCACATGGTGGCGCCTTGTATGGAACGAGGTCTTCTCTGCTCACTCGCATCGTGGGCCCCTTGAGGATGTTTGCGCTGCTTTGCATCCTGTGGTGAACACACGTACGAACCATTCTGTAGCTGTCACTAAAGAAAGCTGTCCGCACATAGCACTGAAGTGTCCTGAATCTTCTCTCTAACCTGGGGGGGCAGCACCCCGTGTCTCAGAGACACATCCTGGGTCCAGGCAAGGAGCACTATGCCCCTTTGCTCCTGGACCTGTCTCTCCTGCTCTTGTGGCTTCAGCCCCAACACGGGGACGGCTCAGGACACCCGGATTCAAATCCAACCTCTCCCGGTATGAGCTGCACATCTTTGGGTGCGTTATTTAAACTGTCTACATTGGCCTCCTAATCTATACAGAGGAAGTACCTGTACCTCTCCAAAGGGTTATTATGAAAAGTGAATGAGTTACTACAAGTAAAGCACATCATAAGTTCCATAAGTGCCAGGTGTCTCTGAGATCATCATCGGAGGGGCAGCGGAGGGAACCGGAAGACCCTGTCCCGGCTCTCCTGTTTATTTGTTTTGTGACTCTGGACGTGTGAACCCCAAGAGTTCCATTTCTTCGTGTCTAAACTTAAAATATGGATGACACCTGGGGAGTCTACCTCTCAGAGGGGCAGCGAGGTTCAGATGAGCTCATACACGTGAAAATGCTTTGCAAACGATAAAAACACGTGCATGGGCAGGATAACCAATGCCACGCCTTTGTGCCCGCGTCTGTGTGACCACCCTTCCCATGGTGCCTTCTGTGTTAGCTGGGAGCGCCTGGGGCGGGGATCACATCGCTCCCCTCTGCCAGCAGCCCCGATCTCTAGCCTGCCGCCCGCACGTGGTCTGCACTCAGTAGAGGGGACGTGGGAAGTGCAACAGTCCCCTCGCATGTGTTTTTCTAGAAGGCGTGCAGTGGCTTGCCCCCCAGGGGTGGCCCGTGATAGGACTGTCGCCCCACACGAGAGGGCACGTCTAGTCCCAGGAGCCAGGCCCCCCACAGACACTAAACGTGGGAACACCTGGCCTGCGGCTCTGCTCCCGGGACCCTCCCGGGCTCCGGTCCCTGGGCTTAGCCAGCAGACTTGTCATCTTCATGAGGTTTCTGAATTCACCTCCACGCTATTGGAGAGACCACAATACCAGTGGAGTTGCCCTCGGCAGTTCAAATCAGGGAAACCGAGCAATCAAACCTCAGCATTCCGTAAAGGCGCAGGGACTCTGAGGCCTTTCTCCTTCCCTCCCGTCTCGAAACCCTCCCAAGGCTGCAACCTTGCTTTTGTGCCTCTGTCTCGGTCTCCCACATCTTCACGAAGAGGGGGTCTCAGAGGACGCCACTGCCTGGTACTGACCTGGATTCCTTCTGTATCCCTCAGAACACCCACTTAGGGCTGTGCACAGACAAAGCTCTGGGTGCTTAGTTCCGGATTGGAATTAAAAAGACTGAGAAAAACAAAATGAGTGGACTTGATGGGAGATTAATTGCACAGGCATCTGTTGACTGCATGAGTGAAGCTGGATTTTTTCGGAACCACTGGCTGCCTTCGCATTTCCTGGTGGAAGTGGGGCAGGTCAGCAGACAACCCAGTGTCGTAGATAACTTTTGCCCACACATCATTCACTTTTGGGAGCGTTGGCTTGAAATTGAGGGGTGTGTGTGTGTGTGTGTGTGTGTGTGTGTGTGTGTGTCTGGAACCGACGTGCCTTCCGTGAGCCTCAGAGATCCCTGTATTCTCTTCAAATGGGCTGATTACAACACAGAGGATGTGGACGGTGGAGTTTTTCCTGTTTGATGTCACACTGCTACCCTTTAAAAGTCCGAGGGAAAAAAAGGAGGGAATGCAGCCTAGGAGCCTCAGGCCAGAAACCAGCAAGGAAGAGGAGAAACAGTCCAGGGAGGCCAGGCGCAGAGCCAGGGTCGGGTTTCAGACGCCACACCAGCCAGAGAGCCGCGATGCTGGGGGCCTGCCTGGGCCTCTGGGTCTGCACCCTGGTCTGTGCGGTCCACGCCTATCCCAACACCTCCCCGCTGCTGGGCTCCAGCTGGGGCGGCCTGACCCACCTGTACACGGCCACGGCCAGAAACAGCTACCACCTGCAGATCCACAGGGACGGCCACGTGGATGGCTCACCCCAGCAGACCATCTACAGTAAGTTGGGGCTCCGTCTAGGCTGGGAAGAGGGGGGACGGATCTGTGCCTCCACCTGCAGGGACTCGGGGAGGCCTCGGCTGGACCAGAGGGCTACTCCAGCCTCCTAGCTTCTCGCCCAGGATCCGTGAGTGCGTGTGTGTGTGCGTGCGCGTTTAAACCTTGGGAGAAGATTCTTCCACCTCCCCAATTACTGTGTATTGGTTTCTCCCAACAAGAATAATTTCCATCTTAACTAAAGTCCATCTTCCCACAACAGCAGCCACTTTCTCTGTGCCCTGTCCAAAGCGTCAAAAAACGTACAAAAGACAGGCAAGGAGGCTGGGAGCAAAAAAAGTCAGATCGGTCAGTAGACACTGAGCTTTGGCTCATGACTTTGGACTGGGTTAACGGTAGAGGTTGTGAAGATTTCTGTACCAGACCAGGGCTTGGAATAGATAAACCCAGAGGCCCTTTCCAACTCAGAGCTTCTAGTATGCTGACCTTATAAAAGTTCTCAGGGAAAATGTATTAAAGACTAGACTGGCCAGGAATCCTGTCTTGATGAGTCTGACCCAGTGCCTCCATCCATCCATCCACGCACACCCTTCATCCAACAAGCTTACTAGGGGCTTCAGTGGAACCCAGGATGCTGTGAGCTGGGGAGTCTTCTCTGTGGAGCTGGAAGATCCACTTATTAGCAAATGAATCTGGTTGGGAACTCACTGAAAACACGAGACAGCCGGAATGTTTTTAAAGATTAGGTTTGTGGAAAGTTGGACCACAGTCCACAACAGTCAATCCATTAGCGGTGTTTCCGATGTCCCCAGAAGGAATAATGGGGTGGGGGGATGACGGATATTGAAAAAGACAAGGTCTTCTATTTGAGGAAAACTGTAAAAATTAAGGATCCAGAAAAATGCCAACCGATTCAAAAGAGATCCAGTCAGAGGAAGGGAAGAGTAAGCACAGTCTCTGTTTAATTAAAGACAATTTCTTATAGGAATAATGACTGGCCCTTTATTGTTGCACTAAATTATTCTGTCATTTTGCTGTGGCCTTGCTATACGCAAGACATTCATCTGCTAAGAGTCAAAGGACCTTAAAGTTGGTAGTGAGAGAGAGGCATGTACAAAGCCAGAAGTTCAGACCTCTTCAGGTGCTCAGTGGATGGTGACAGGGGGTGAAAGAAAGGAGGAAGTTCTCCCCAAATGCCAAACAGGTTCCAGAACTTAGGGGAACACAGTGGATTCAGGAGCCAACATCTTGGAAGCCAAGTTTGAGTCCCATGGCAAAAATTCTGAAATAAATCTGGATACAGCTGATGCATCCGAAGCATTGCCCGTTTTATTCAATGGGTATTTAGCAGAACCTACAACGTGTCTGACATCGTGAAAAGCTCTGTGGCTTCAAAGGAAGACCAGCCCTTCACGCACCTCCAGGTGTCCAACCTTCGTGTCTCCCAGCTCATGACCAGCTTTGAGGAAACACAGTTTTGCCCTCTCGTGGAAGGCCGCCCTCACTTCAAGATGAGAGGCGATTTAAAATGCAGGACGGTAGATTATGGTAAATTATTTTGATTCCCCTACGTGGAAAGGGCTGCAGATAATTAGAGAATGCTTATAAAATTTCTCTATAATCACAGAATCCTTTTGATGAAAGGAAGCCCCCGAAGACACAGCCTGGTTGGGGGAGAGGGAGGGCTGTGAGCGGTGCCCGGAGTGGGTAGGGCTCAGCCCACTGAGTTTGCAGCATGAATCATAGAATTTTCCCTCTTATATCCACCGACCTCGGGCCCCGAGAAGGCACAGAGCGCTAGCTGGAATGAATTAAAATGACTGAGAGGAAGCAAAGTGAATTGAACTGATTTCAGATTTTTTTTTTTTTACAGAAATGTGATTTTGTTTTGTCATATAAAGAACCTACTAAGCCTTGTGTCTCTGGCAATTAAGGAACCTGGGAAGGGACTGAGTCAGGGGCGAGAGAGAGACACTTTTGCTCGTTTATATAACATTTATACTATTCAGATCAGTTGTCATGAGCATTATATATATAGATAGACAGACAGATATACACACTAAGATAAAAAGTTACCCCAAAAGGAAAGAAGAAACACGGATGCCTGTAGCTCTGTAGGACAACTAAGTAACAGGCTGGAGAAGGATTTGTAATGACCTCCCCGAGGAACGCAAAGCAACGGTTTCACATTGATGGAAAGGCGTGGAGTGTTTTTTCCCCTCCTGATTAATTACAGATTTCCAGTGAAATGTGGTTCATTTGATTACTGTGCTCTACCAAATTCTTGATTAATAGTTGAGTGCTCAGCCCATCTCTGGTTTGCTGATCGTTGTAAAATTATCTGCCTACAAGATTCAATACCCTCGTGACTTGCAGCTGGTGTCAGGGAGTGTGTCTCCAATGTCTGTCTCCTTCCTACTATGAACAAGGCTACCCTCCCACTCTCCATGAGCCCCACTTTGTGGCAACAGCAGCAAAGAGATGCTTATTACCCCTGGTTACTATTACTCCCTGGCTCCTGGTCTTTTTATTTCCTCTCCTTCCCCAACGTCGCTTTCTTGTGCCGAACGTGAAGCCGAACTATCCCTGGGCTCTCTAACCCTTCAAAATGTTATCTTTCTTTTGGGGAGCTCAAAGTCCTTTACATCCATCATCTTATTTATCATTTATTGACCATGAGACTAGAATAGGGCAGATAATTTTCTACTTTTATAGCAGAGATTGAGGCAAAGTGGTAATAGTAAAATCACTGGCATTTAGAAAGTGGGTTTATAGCAGATAAAAATATTATCTCCTTACACCCCAAAGATGACCAAATGAAATAAATGATTCTACTCCGTATGAGAAAACAGAGGTTCAAGGACTCAGATAACTGGCTTGTGGTCACATAGGCGGTCACATAGGCGGTCACCCGGGTCCCCTGCTTCTTCTGTATCACGTGCACAGACACAGCATCACGAAAGGAAATGTCCTTTACGCCTGCCGGGCTCCAACAGGTGTGGTCCCAGCAGCCAGCGGTTGGTGCCTTCTTTCTGCCAAATGCTGCCCTTGGGTCGGTGCAGAGCTGCCTCAGTCACCTGCACAGGGAGGACAATCGGCTCTTCCATTTGCTGGACTTCTGCACCGGCCCCTGTGGGTTTGATTCAAGCCTGCGCGTCCTCACGGCAGCAGCTCCCGGTGCCCCTGAAGGCTGTCTTCTGTCCTCACTGGCCCTGGAGACAACGCACACTGCTCACAGGGACCCAGGCATCGGCCGGCAGCCGGCAGGGTGTGGGCTTATCGTCAGGGGCAGGCCAGCCATCCTCCACAGGGCCTTCCATCTGCTAAATGTTTTCAAGGCACCTTTTTACAGCATCATCCCATTTGATCCTAGTTGCAACCCTGGGAAGCAGGCAGGACAGCTGTGCTGCTTCTCTCTTCCCAGCTGAGGACTCTGAGGCTCGAGTGATGAGCTGCCCAAGGCTACAGAGTTAGTACAGGGCGTAACAGGGACCAGAATCTCAGCGCCCCAGTTCCGGGCTCCGGGCTCAGCCCCTCTCCCCTGACCCCCTCGGGGGTACTGTGACCTGGGGGCCTCATGGCCGTGGCCTGGATTTCGGCCCTTGACTTCATCTTCTGAGGCTTGTCGTGACGTCAGCTGGAGACGAGCTCCAGGGCTGTGGGCAGAAGATGTTAGGGTCACTGACCTGAGTTTCCTGAGTTTGAATCGTGCCTTGGTTTCCTCATGATTTAAATTGGGAGGCTGCTACTTCCAATATTAATACCGGTGACATTAACAACATAGCTGGTTTTGTGGGGGGGGGTTTGGAGGGTGGGATTCTTTTCTTATTTATTTATTTTTGGCCGCGACCCATGGCATGTGCGATCTTAGTTGCCCGACCAGGGACTGAACCTTCACCCCCTGCGGTGGAAGTGCAGAGTCTTAACCACTGGACCACCAGCGAAGTCCCACAGCAGCTATTTTGAAAGTTTAAAATGTGTCAAATACTCAGAGCGCAACATCTCAAAAACAGTTACGAAGTGTAATTTTTTTTTCCCCCAAGTAGACTGAAAATTCATCAGGCTGGAAACAGTTTCTTCCGTGTTCCTTATGTCTCTCTCAGGCCCTCTCTCAACATAAGCCATAGGTCTGAGACTCACAGGCAAACCCCGTTACGGAGCATTTCATATCTTCCGCACCTCCCATGCCCCACCCCACTTCCAGAAGCTTCCCTCAAGCCTAATCCTTAGCCAAACTTGGAAACCAGTGACCTCTCCTCTTTGGCCCTCTGCCTGGGCTTGTTCCCAGCCTCATGGCCTCTGCCCCACATCACTCTGACTTCTCTGTGCTCAGCTAGTGTCTAGTACTGCCTGCCGCTCTCCTTGGAGGGCTCTGTACTGAGCCTCCGTGGGCGTAGATCTGGGCTATGAGTCACCCCACGAGGCACCATCACTTACTGGGCACAGATGCCTGGCGTTTCCACCCTCTCCAGGCTACATTTCTAGAAGACTCGACCCCCTGCCTGGGCTACCTGCCTGGGAACTGTGAGGCCAAATGAGATGTGTGGGGAAATTCTGTGGTCGGCAAAGGGAAGAGGCCCCAAGACCTAAGGAGATGATTCTAGTAGAAAATGTCAGGTCTGGGGAGGAGTCTTCCTGAATTAGCACTCGTATCACGCCTCTTATGGTCTCATTGTACCCTTGCTACAAAACAGAAACTTGAACTACTCACTGGTACTTGTTGGACTTGCACATCCCCATGGGGGTGGGGTGGGGGTCACGCTTAAAACTGTTGTCAGTTACTCAGGGCGTAGGTAGTGTGAATGGGTTTCAGGCCTTTGTCCAGGGCTAGTTTTTGAGAGGGGCTGCACCTGGGGGCACCACCAAGTGAGAAAAGGACCAAGAATAGCGATGAAGAAGCAAGAGGTAATTCCCTGCGTCCCAGGATCTACTCGACACGGAAAGATAAACCGTCTGCTTCTAAGTGGCTCACCCTAGGGAGGCACCAGACATGTGAACTTATTAAAGCAGGTGAGGAGATACGTGCTCTGAGAGAGGCGAGTCGGAGCGGCTGAGAAGAACAGGTCATTCTGATTAGGGAGATTAGGAAAGTCTCCATAAAATAGGGACGTCTGAGCCTGGCCTTGAAGCGTGAGTGACCTCGATAAGCAGAGGAGGGAGGAGAAGATCCATCAGAATACAGTTCTTGACACATAAAGGGTGCTGACTGCTGTATCACTGACTCCTGCACGGCCCCCTGGGTGGAGGGTCAAGCTGGATGCTTGAAAGACATCTGGGCATAGATTTAAAAATCACAAAAGCAGAAGGCTTGGGAGGATGTGACCACCACCACAGACATTAAGAAGTATGAGACAGGCAAAGGGGAAAATAAAGAGAGTCCAAGCAGAGAGAGAAACACGTTGGTACAGGTGGAAGGAAGCTGGGAGTTCAGGGTGCTCCTTACAGGCAGGAGGAGACGCAGGAGGCAAGGGGGGGAGGGGGGAGGGGGGAGGGGCGGGGGAGGGGAAGTCAGAAGAAAGAGCCTGAACAAGGACGAGAGGAGGCTTCTGTGAAATCATCACCACCCTTTAGATCAATCAAGGGAGGGTCCTTGGAGGTAGGGGCTGGATGTGAAGCCAGGTTTTGACTTGAATGATTTTCTCCATAGGTGCCCTGATGATCAGATCTGAGGATGCAGGATTCGTGGTGATTACAGGGGTGGTGAGCCGGAGATATCTCTGCATGGACTTCAGAGGCAACATTTTTGGATCTGTGAGTTTCTTTTTGTGCTGGGTAATTCTTTGCAAATAATTATCTCATTGCTCTGGCAAAATGTAGAATTTTATAGCTTAAAGATTCCACTTGCACATTACCTGGGTGATGTTTTCACTGAGTACTTTTTTCCATCTAAGTATCAAATGCTCAGGCTTATACAGCTGAGGTCTGAACCCAAGCTTTCTGGCTTTGGAGCATCTGGGCTCTCAGTCTCTAGTCCTACCTGCCCTTTGGTCCCCATTTTTTAACTAGCACAGCACCCTGTCTGCAGCCCAGGTCCTCAAGTCACATACATTCATGTTGGAAAGTCCATTAGAAAGAAAGGGTGAGAAGCCACTGGGGTCTCATGATCTTGTTACTAGATATCCTTGACCTTGGGCAAGTCCCCTATTTCTCTCAACTTCAGTTTCCTCACCTGGAAAAAGTCAAGTGGGACGGACCACGTGCCCTGTGGGGCTCCCCCATATCAAGATCTGTAACGAACTCCCTCGGCCCCAGCTGTGATGGCTGGTCTTTTGGACTGGCGAGCAAGGGCTTTCCCAAACTACAGGGCGCAGCATATTCCAAAGCACGGGGGGCATTGGACAGAAGCAGGGCTGTGCATCTCAGAAGCTCCTCCCACCAGAAATTCCAAGAGAGCAATTACTTTCTGTTTTACTTACTTCTGTGTCCCAGCATCCACCATAGTATCTGGCCCAGAGTACATAAATATCTGTTGAACAAATATAGACAAATAAGTACATAAATACCTGCTGACCGCATATAGGCATACACAGAGTCCCCTCATCTGTAAAATACTTACTCCGTGGACTTCTGAGGATTAAAGGACATCCTACGTAAAGGCCCTAGCAGGCACTTAGCAAAACACAGCACCAGTTAGTGGCAGAGTGAGGGCTCACGTGGGTCACCTGGTGATGAAGTTCATGTCCCTTAATTCCCAAACCCTGTTCTGCCTCCGAGGGGGAGTCTCCTTACTTATGTGCGGCCCTACAAACCCCAGCCCACCTTTGTCCAGGTGAGGAGACTGACCGAAGCCACCTCCGAGCCAAAAACAAAAGGCAGAGAGAGGACAGGCCTCAGCCCAGAAAGCAGACAGAGGCGCCGGCTCCGTCCAGCCCGGCCCCAGGCAGCCAAGTGCCGGCGGCGGGTCCGCAGGCGGGGCCGCGAGCTCCCCAAGCCTGTCCCCACCTGCCAGTCGTAACCGCAGTTTGGAAACGAGTGGAAATCATTTTTGCTCAGCAGGGCACGACGGGGTTAAAGGCAAGGCCCGAGGAGAGTGGGTGGGAGAATTGGGGTCCCCGGATGGAGCTGGTCCCATCCAGCCCGCCGAGGACTTCGGCCTCACCCGGTCGCCCCGCCCCGCTTTCAGCATCACTTCAGCCCCGAGAGCTGCAGGTTCCGGCAGCGGACGCTGGAGAACGGCTACGACGTGTACCACTCGCCGCAGCACCGCTTCCTCGTCAGCCTGGGTCGGGCCAAGCGGGCCTTCCTGCCGGGCACCAACCCGCCCCCGTACGCGCAGTTCCTGTCGCGCAGGAACGAGATCCCGCTGCTGCACTTCGCCACCGCGCGGCCCCGGCGCCACACGCGCAGCGCGCACGACGGCGGGGACCCGCTGAGCGTGCTCAAGCCGCGCGCCCGCGCCACGCCCGCGCCCGCGCCCGCCTCCTGCTCGCAAGAGCGGCCCAGCGCCGAGGACAGCGGCCCTGCGGCCAGCGACCCGCTGGGGGTGCTCCGCGGCCACCGGCTGGACGCGCGCGCCGGGCCGGGGGGCGCCGAGCGCTGCCGGCCCTTCCCCAGCTTCGCTTAGGGCGGCCCAACTCGGAAAGCCAAACCGTCTGGGGCGCGGGCTGGAGGTGGGGCGAACCGGCCCCGCTTCCTCCCTTAGCGGGAGGTCCCCGGGGATTGCCCTTGGAGCGGTGGCGCCCCTCGCCTTCCTCCTCCCACCTGGACGCGCTCCTTTGGGAGAGGAAGGGTTCCCTCACCCCCAGTCCTTCCTCTTCCCTCTCCTCTCCTCTCCATCAGTCTAACATTAAGAACAGGGGCTTAGCGAGTTGACCAGCCGGGAGGTGAAGCAGGGAGCCCAAGCCAGCGGCTTCTCCACCGCCCCCTGCTTTGTGCCATCTGCCTGGACCCTGTCGGCAGGGTTAGAGTTTGCAACCTTGACCTGGGGGATTAACAGCTCGACTGAGCAAAACCCATGAAAATCCTAACCTCAAGCCTTCGTTCTTCCTTAAGCATCTCTGGAGAAGGGCCGTCAACAAGACTGGGGGTAGGCTGGTCAAAACTTAGCCAGAATGAGCACCCGGAGGATGGAGGCAGGGATCAAGCTAGAGACGCGAGCTCCTTACAGGATGGCCCCTTGCCCTGCTCTGTCCCTCTGCGCAGACAAAGCCCGGCCCAGAGTGACGCTGCGCTTCCCACGTGGCCCCTGCCTCTTGGCCCTACCTTTGGCTTGAGTGAATTGGGCCTGAGCCAAGAATTTGGTCTTGGCTCCTGAAAATCTACCCTGCTAGGATTTGTTTTTCAAAATGGAAATAAATTCAAACTCTCCCAAGAGGCCCTTAATTAAACCTCTGCTTTCAGGCTGAGCGGTGATCCATTCTGGAAGAATCAGACAAATGCGCAAGGAGGGGCCTGGTGACAAGGGAACTGCTCTGGGTTGGGTTTTTGTGCCAATTGTGTCTTTTTTTTTTTTTTTTTTTTTTTTTT